ATTTCAGGGGCCCGGGATTTAGCTCAGTGGTTTCACTGCCTGCCTTGCAAGCGCAAGGACCCGAGTTTGATCCCTGGTACCAAAAAAAAAAAAAAGTCATTTCAGATAAAGGAACATATTGTAGTTGTTAAAATCAGCATTGATATATGGTAAGATTTCAATTGAGAAAAATAAATAGCATGAGGGATGACTAAAAAAAAGATATATGTGATGATCATTAGTAGTAGTTGATGTATAGTTTCCAGAGAACATAGGAAATAAGCTGGTATATTTTTGGCAATGAGTTATAATCTCTTAATCACTGTACACGGGAGCTGGGATTACATGCCCTTTAGCTACTTGCTCATTTTCATCTCTAAATATCAATTTTATTCACTCAGTAATGGAGAATATCATAGAGCAATACATTTTTATATTTCATATCTCACCACATTACCCATTTCTATAATAATTATAATTTCAACTTACAGATTTTATATTTATAATGACAGTTTTCAATGGCATCTTTATCTCATTAAAAGTAGGTACTGTATTTGTTGTATCCAGTTAAATAGGTAAGGAAATAGAAATGGACTTGAACAGGTGAAGTAACATGCCTAAATTCTACAAGTATTTAGTATAGGTAGGATTTTAATCCGTGTAGTCTTGTGTGTAGGCCCTTTTATTAATCATTAGGGCAAATACTAAGTTACAGTGGCTTAAATAAGCTTGTTTCTTAAAATAATCACCCTTTTTGGTCAATGGAAGAGATATTGTCATCCTCTAGAGTTCTCAAAACTTAGTGTGTATCAAAATCACCTGTCATGATTTTAAGAAAAACCTCCCACCATACCAAAGGGTATTAATGCTATAGCCAATAGCTTGATTTCAGTTATTATTCCATGAAAACTTGCTATTCTCAGAGAATTCTTTATCTTAGTGTTTTTCAACATAATCTTTTGGAAGATTTTTTAAACCAGTTTCCTGAGCCTTGCCCCAAGAATATGATTTAGAGGATCTGGGATAGGGTCTGAAATTTTGCATTTAATAGTGATGGGCCACAGTTTGAGAACCAGTGCCCTGTTACTTTAGTCTTGACAGCATAGTTGGGGATATTCTGTTCCCCCGTGGTCACATTTTAGCCTAGAAAAAATTGCAAGGATAGTTCTTTAAGTAAAGGTTTAATGTTTGCAGTGGTTTAAAATGGACATGTAAGAAAAATAATGAGACGACAAAAGTTTTTTAGAAAGACGATGTAGGTAACAGGAAACATGAGAATATAATGTAGGCTGTCAGGTAGAGATTACAAAGTATTATGAGAGACTATGAGGTATCTTTAAAATTTCAGTAAAATGAATTAAAACAGAAAACTGGCACTTACAAGAAGTGGTCATGGGGTTGGGGATGTAGTTTAGCAGTGCAATGCTTGCCTGGCAAGTACGTGGCCCTGAGTTCAATTCCCGGTACCAAAAAAAAAAGGCATGATTGGAAAAAAGTGTTCTGTAATAGTAGTTATGATCACTATCTTTTCATTGAGTACTCATTGGCTAATCAAGTAATAATAAATATTTGTCACATCCATGACAAACTGTGGTGGATGGTTTTTAGTCTGAATTCATGTCACCTGTGGAAAGAAGTGATCCAGAGATTTAATGAGAACCAGGGAAATGTGTGTTTTTTTCTGAAGCCAAGATGAAGTTTTAAGATAGAACAGCATCTCTCAAAGCACTGTCTCCAGATGTACTTACATTGCAACCCATATTGCTGGGAAGTTATCAAAATGCAAATTCTCAGACCTCACACCAGAACTACTGAAACAAATTTTGGAACTTGAGCCTAAGAATCCATGTACTAAGAATTGAAAGATGAGGGTATCTCCAATTATTCAAAATATTTGAAGGCTTGAATTCAAGCACATATATGAATACTTATATGGTGAACAAAAAGAAGGAAAAGGAAGAAAAGCTTTAAGGCAACTGCTCAGTGAGGAAAAATTTTATTGTCACTGTTTGATGGAAAGTTGCTCTTGGCATGTAGTATATAGATCAGAGATGATGGTGAACATTGTAGAGTGTATACCACCATTATTACCCCCTCTCCCCACAGAAAAAGAAAATAACACAGAAAATTAGATTACCTAGGATGTCAGTAGTGCCAAGGTTGAGAACTCTTCCTCTAAGCTAAAGAGGACCAGGCTCAGCCATCTATGAAGTAACTTGTTCTCCGTAATGTAGAAAACTAGCCTTTTCTTACAAAAAAATGAAATTAATAAGTGGAAAAGAATAAGAACCCTAAAATTTTGTCTCTTTTTAAACCTCAATTCATGTTAGTTATCCAGTGATTTTTTTAAAAAAGCGAAAGTACAGACATCTTGAGTTTCAACCCATATTGCTCAAGGAAAAAAAGTCTTCAGATAATTCTGACTTTCAGGTTAAGAGGTTCACTGTTGAAACGGATTTAGTGTCACAATTCTATGATTTTAGTAAATTCTCAATAACCTGGAACTGAAACAAAGCCTAGCAAACCTAGAAAATTACATATTATAGAATGGAGTAGATTTTAATATCCTGTAGAATAACCCTGAAGATGGTTTCTAAGAGGGAGTTAGCAGGTAAAGAACCTAGGTGGCCAACTAGAGTGGGTTAAGGCAGGATTCTATTTTTGTTGAAGGATAGGAACAAAGGATAGATTTGAGTTTGAGAAAATTTCTGAGTGGTAAAGCTATATGGATACACATATTCTTGTGTGAAGAGGAGTTGAGTAATGCCTTAGTTAAGGCAGCTCTATCTAATAAAAATATATATGCTATATATGCAATTTTTATTCAACTAGTTTTTAATTTTTGTAATCCATTTAACCCATTATATCCAAAGTGTTATCATTTTACCATGTCAGTATTTTTAGAAATTCATTTTTTTCTTTTGGTACTAAATCTTAAAAATCACTATTTATATTTATAGCACAGCATAGTTCACACTTAGCATAATTTGTGTCCTTATACACTACATTTAATCAGTAGCTACCATATTGAACAGTGCAGGTATATAGGAATTGTGGGAATAGAATTTAAGGTCATAATTTTCTTATATGCATTTGTTTATAGTGTTAAACACTATGGATTGGGGAAGCAGGAACTATAGGAATTAAGCACTAAGGTCTCAAGTTGCACTGAAAGTGAGAAATGGTGGGTAGAATAAGCAAACTTTAAGATTTAGATTTTGGGTATACTGATAATGTGAAGAAAAAGAAATAAGGTACAGGTTTGAATCCTAGCTCTCTAAACTACTTTGGGAAAATAGTACATTCTTTTAGAAACCCGTATTTGTTTAAAAAGATAAATAAAAATACCTGGGATACGCTAGACGCTATTTGAAAAGAAAAAATGTATTTTAAGGAAATAATAAGTATTCATCCTTTAGAGTTATGATTTAAGAAATTTATTTTTTTAAACTTGAAATTATGTTCTATTTTGAAGGATGGGAAACTGAAGCCTAGAAAGTTAATGAACAGTTCTTTTCTCTGAAAATTTTTTGTAATCCAAATGCAGTTACTTTCATCAGAGGAAATACTTGCATCTAAACATGTTTGGAATAACATTGGTGTAAGAGTTTGAAATACTGCTAAGTTTTTAACTTGTTTTCATGTTACGCTTATCTTTATGTACTAGAGATGACTTCATATGTGATTGCTTTCCTACCCCTCTCCCAGATATTTTTAGATGAACTGCATGAACATGGACAACTACATTCTATGTCATCTTGGATGAAATTGTATCCAACCATTAGTTCTGACATTAGATTCACTAATATGCTTGGTCAGCCTGGTGAGATTATTTTCTTTCCAAACTTATTCTGGTAGTTGGAATGGGCCTAGGGGAAGGTGGTTGTGGTGGTGGAGAAAGGGTGCTTTATTTTATTTTTGTTTTATAAACAAAAAAAGTAATTGCAGCTCTTTGGTTAGAGCTAGCTTTTGACTTCTTTAGTTTTTTCATTAGGATCAACTGCACTTGATCTTTTCAAGTTTTATGTTGAGGATCTTAAAGCACATTATCATGATGAAAAAGAAAATAATAAAAGACATTCTAAAGGTAAACAAATACTTGTTCTTGTTAGCCTATAGTATAACTTTATTGCTTGGATATGTGTATTAAATGTAAAAGGATTTCTGGGTTTTAGGATAAAGGATTTGTAGTTGAAGTAAATACTACATTTGAAGATTTTGTGGCAATAATTAGTTCAATTAAAAGATCAACTATCTTGGATGCTGGAAATACCAAGTTGGCTTCCAATAGTGTAAGTTAACATTTTAACTTATAAATAACTACTTCAGTAGTACAGTTTTCATTTTATTCAGCTAAGAGTTGCTTACATGAAGGGTTATTGGGACTAAGGAATAGAAATAGGACTGATAGAGTAGTGGATAGTACTTTAGATAAGCTAAAAATTTAATGTATTTAGATGCTGTACTGTGTTAAGCTTTCTTTGCATACATTAACTGGTATAGATGTTAGCCCTTTTAAATGATATGAGAACAATGAATTATTTCAATAACAGGAGTTACATTTTGTAACCAATTAAATGTAATTTTTTAATAGCTACTGGAAAAGGCAGAAGCCCGTGAACATGAAAGAGAAAAAGAAGAGGATCGGAAAATGAAATGAAAAGAATCTGCATTTAAGAGCATGTTGAAACAAGCTGCTCCTCCAATAGAATTGGGTGCTGTCTGGGAAGATGTACGTATACTTGCAAATTTTCCCTATAAATCATTTTTTTACAGTTGAAAATGAAAATATTTTTAATCCTTGTTTATTTAAAGCCACATAAAAGCTAAAGTTATTTGTAAAATGTATCATATATATATATATATATTGTACTGAAAATAACTGCATTTAGAAATATTTGTTGAAAGTGGTTGGGACTTTTGAACCAAGAAATAATATACTTTCAGGGAATGGCTTTATCATAATCTTCACCTCCTATGATTTCTTTTAGACATTGGTATACTTTTCTTAGTATTCATGTATTCCAAATCTGAATTTTTCAGATCTGGGAGAGATTTGTAAAAGAGCCAGCATTTGAGGACATAACTCTAGAGTCTGAAAGAAAAAGAATATTTAAAGATTTTATGCATGTCCTTGAGGTAATTTTAATTTTTTTTATAACTTACTGAAATATTACAGTATATACAAAAACAATAAAATGATCAAAGTATTGGGAATATTCACTGCTTTTGTACAAATGTAGTTAGGTTGCATGTTTAAGGGAGTGTTTTCTTTCTGTAGAAACTGTTAAAAGTGGAATGAGCTATACATGTGCATAGAAATACTAAGGCTAATGGGTAGAAATTAATTTTTGTTTCATGGTTTTAGAAATTCAGCAAATTGTCCACCTTACAAATTGACCAGTAATCTGAGGAAACCTTAACATTTTCTTATAAAACAAATAGAAAACAGATTTTTATGCATGCTTCAGATATACTACACTGCATGTATAGAAAACCAAGGGGCCAGGCATGGTGGTGCATACCTGTAATCCTAGGATGCGGGAGGCTGAAGCAGGAGGATCACCACGAGTTCAAGGCCAGGTTGGGCTACATAGCAAGAGCCTGTCTCAAAAAAAGAAAAGAAAACCCAAGAGATTTCTGAAAAATAATAGGATAGTTTTTGTTAACATTCATAATGAAAAAAATAAAAATTTCAAGTCGCTTCATTAGTTGAGTAACAGCATTATATTTAATGTTTATATGAACTAGGTCATGTTCTAATTGTTTTACCTAGATTATATGTATGAACTAAATCTTCATAACAAGTGTACGAAGTTACAGGTGAGCAAACTAAGCCAAAGAAGTGAAGTAATTTGCAGGGAAGGGATTGCAACCCAGGCTGTTTGACTCCAGAGTCAGTGCTTTTAAACAAATTTCCTATGCTGTTAGCCAAGCTATTACTTCATGACAAGCTAAAAGATAGTATGTATTTAATGCTACAGTTTTGTTTTGGTAATTGGGCCTAAAGGTCACTTAATTGCTTACTTTTTTTTTTTCTTTTTCTTTTTTGGTATCTGGAATTCAACTCAGGACCTTGAGCTTGTGAGCCAGGCGGTGGCACCACTGAGCTAAATCCCCCGCCCCTTACTCACTATATCTTAATAGTAATGTTAACAGTTTTCTCTGTTGTCGTGTGCTCCGTAGACAGCCGCCTGTTTGGTACTCTGGCTTATTCTTTTGTACTCTAAATGTAAATCACACCAGCAGTACCTGTATTACCTAGGAGCTTCTTAAGTATGCAGGACCTCAGTAGAGCATCAGTCTCACACCGCAGCATTCATTTTACCAGATTCCAAAGCAGTAGAATGTATCTTGAATTTTGAGATGCTCCACTCTACGAAGTATCTTAACTATTTCTCCCTAATTTAAGAATCTCCAACTAGATTCTTAATGATGTGTGGGATAAATTTATGATGCAGTAAATGAAGCTGAAGGTAGTAGCATAAAGAAAGGCTAATAAGGCAGACCTGGTGGTACGGGCCTGTGTCTCAGCACTCTCAGCACTATGGGAGGTTGAGGCAAGAGGCTTACAAGTTTGAGCTCAGCCTGACCAACTTAGCAACTTAATCTCAAAATTGAAAAAAAGGGGTAGGGGAACAGGAGGTGATACGGCTTGTTGAGAAGTCCCTGAGTCCAGCCCCCAGTACCACAAAGAAAACATTCTGTTGACTATGCAAAGCAAATGTAAATTCTTGAAATTTTCTTTCTTTTGGCCCTGTAGCATGAGTATCAGCATCATCATTCAAAGAATGAGAAACATTCTAAGAAATCTAAGAAACATCATAGAAAGCATTCCCGCTCTCAATTGGTAAGGAAGTTTATTAGATGGTGCCATAAATATACTAAAACTGTCATTAGCATTATTATGAATTATATTATTTGTATTATTTAGGGGTCAGTTTCAGATGATGAAGACAGCCATTCAAAGAAAAAAAGACAGCGATCAGAGTCCCGTTCTGCTTCAGAACATTCTTCTAGTGCTGAATCTGGTGAGCATTTGTATTAATACTTTATTAAAATCATTGGCAGTTTGATTTCTTAAATTGACACCTGTTTTTTATATTCCTCAGAGAGAAGTTATAAAAAAATCAAAAAAGCATAAGAAGAAAAGCAAGAAGAGGAGACATAAATCTGTAAGCACAATTCTGATTTTTACACTTCACCCATACTTTTGCCATTGGTTTCCTCAATGGCTAAAGAACTTTCTCCTAATCTAATCCCATGTAGTACCAACATTTGAAGGGATTTTTGGAGAAAATGGCTACATTTCTGTTTGTGTAGGGAGGATGGCAGTGGTCTTGTTTGTCACTGATGTGGAGTTGGCAAACAGAAGCAAAATTGTGCCAAATGCTTTTGTTTGTGAACCAGATTGTTTGCAAACAGAAGTATTTGTGAACCGAAGTGTTACTGTTCTGTAGTTGTGCTTCACTTCAGTCTTCCATTAAAATGATTTGATAAGCTTTGAGCAAATACATAATACTGGTGTTAGGATTCCTGCTCTGGTTTTTTAAATTAATCTTGAAGAAAAAGAGGTGTGTCTTTCTGAGAGCTGTTACTGGGAACCACAAATTTGAATTGTCATTCTTTTTATGCTGTTTACATAAATTTGTACATATCTAATTAAGAACCATTTAGATTTCTCAGTAATTTTGAGGAAAGAATTTTATTACACAGTGGTCAACCTCATATTTGATTACACTAACAGCAGAACTCTATAAATATCTAAATAAATTAATACTATGTTGGGTTGGTAAAAAATGTAATATCTAAGCTGGTGGTGTAGCTCTGTGATAAAGTGCATACTTAGCATGCTTGAAGCCTTGATCCCTAGCACCATCAAAAACCAGTATCTGTTTGCATTTACATAATAGATAAGACTTATCTGAAATGTTAGTCTCTATTAGTGGTGTTTTATCCTATGACAATGTCATCCTTCTCATGGCAAAGACTGGCTGTCTCCTGTGAATAATGGGGTCATTTATCAAATCTTTGAAATTAACAATTTAAATTATATTTCACCACTGTAGGAACATAATAACCTATTATATGTGAATGTTCTTAAATATTTCTTATATAAGAATTTTTTTAAAAATAGAATGGTTATTTTTATCAGATCCTATAATTCTAGCATTTGAGAGGCTAAGACTGGAGGACCACAAGTTCGAGTTCAGTGTGGATAAGTTAGGGAGATCCTGTTTCAGAATGAAAAAGGGATAAGGATGTAGTTCATTGCAGGGGTACTGGGTTCAGTCCCTAATACTACCAAAAAAAAAAGGTAACATATATTTTTTATTTACATAGGACTCTCCAGAATCAGATGCCAAGCGAGAAAAGGATAAAAAAGAAAAAGATCGGGAAAATGAAAAAGACAGAACTAGACAGAGATCGGAATCAAAACACAAATCACCTAAGAAAAAAACTGGGAGGGCCGGGGTTTTACCTCAGTGGTTTCAGCGCCTGCCTTGCAAGCGCAAGGTCCCAAGTTCAATCCCTGGTACCAAAAAAACAAAACAAAACAAAAAACTTGATGCTGAACCTCAAGCTTCTAGAAAAAGAAGAGCAGGACAAACCCAAAGGTCATTCAAGGGAGGAAATTATAAAGATCAGTGCAGAACTCAATGCAATGGAGACTAAGAGAACAACAACAACAAAAAAAAATAAAACCAAGAGTTGGTTCTTTGAAAGAATAAACAAAGTCGACAAACCCTTAGCCAACCTTATCAAAAAGTGGAAAGAAAAGGCCCAAATCCTTGCAATTAGGAATGAAAAGGGGGAAATTACAGTGAACCCAGCAGAAATCCAGTGGATCTCAATACCTAGTTTGAGAACCTATATGCCAATAAAATGGAAAATAGAGAAGAAATGGACAGATTCCTATATACATATGAATTACCAAAGATGAACGAAGATGACTTAAAAATTCTACATGACCCAATATCAACCAATGAAATTGAAAATGGAATTACAAACTTACCAACTAAGAAAAGCCTTGTAGAAGTCACTGCTGAATACCAGACATTTAGAGAGGAATTCCTGCTACTACTGTTTAAACTCTTCAATGAAATTGAAAGGAAAGCAATACTCCTGAATTTATTCCTGGAAGCAAATATCACCTTGAACCCCAAAGCAGAGAAAGACCCAACTGAGAAAGAGAACCATAGGCCAATCTCACTAATGAACATGATGCAAAAATCCTTAATAAGATACTGGTAAATACAATGCAGAACATCATCAATAAGATCAAACAAGCTGACCAAGTGGGATTCATCCCAGGGATGCAGGGATGGTTCAGCATATGCAAATCAATAAGTGTAATACACCATATCAATAGAGCCAAGGAAATAACCTTATGATCACGTCAATAGATGCAGAAAAAGCATTTGACAAAATCCAACATGCATTTATGATAAAAAAATAAACTCTACAAAAATTGGAATAGATCATCTCTACCTCGATATGATAAAAGCCATCTATGAAAAGCCAACAGCAAATATCACACTAAATGGTCAATAACTGAAATCCTTCACACTAAAATCAGGAACAAGACAAGGATGTCCACTATCACCACTCCTGTTCAATATAGCTTTGGAAACATTAGCCACAGAAATTAGACAAGAGAAAGAAATAAGAGGAATAAATATAGGAAATTAAATCAAATTATCATTATTTGCAGATAACATGATATTATATATAGAAGACCCCAAGAACTTCACCAAAAGTCTTCCACGCTTAATAACCAAATTCAGTAGAGTAGTTGGATACAAGGTCAACACACAGAAATCAATAGCTTTCCTCTAAATGAACAGCAGACTCACTGAGAGAGAAATAGGGCAAACAATTCCTTTCACAGTAGCATTCAAAAAACTGAAATACCTAGGTGTCAACCTAACGAAAGAAGTCAAAGACCTCTTCTCTGAAAGTTATAGCACTCTGAAAATAGATTGAAGATGACATCAGAAAATGGAAAGACATCCCTTGCTCCTGGGTAGGAAGAACCAACATAGTGAAAATGGCCATACTTCCAAAACTGCTATATAGATTCCCAATTGAAATTCCAGCAGCATACTTTGTGGTCCTTGAGAAAACAATCCAAAACTTCATTTGGAACAAGAAGAGACCCAGAATAGCAAAAGCAATTCTAGGCAAGAGAGACATGGGAAAGGTTATCACAACTCCCAATTTGAAACTATACTACAAAGCTACTGTGATCAAAACAGCATGATACTGGCAAAGAAACAGACCTGAGGACCAGTGGAATAGCTTAGAAGATACAGAAACAACTCCACACACACTCAGCCACCTCATCTTCCGTAAAGGAGCCAAACACCCTCACTGGAGGAAAGATAGCCTCTTTAATAAATGGTGCTAGAAAAATTTGGTTTCAACTTGCCAAAGATTAAAACTAGACCTATGTCTCTCACCATGCACTAAACTAAAATTAAAATGGATTAAAGATCTAAATATTACAACAGAAACGCTGAACCAGCTGGAACAAAGATTAGGTAGCACTCTTGAAGACAATGGTGTAGGAAAAGGTTTTATGAACAAAACCTCAGTTGCCCATGAACTAGTACAATCAACAAATGGGATCTCTTATTGAAAAGCTTCTGCACAGCAAGGGAAACTACCAACAGTGGGAAAAGACAACCCACAATGTGGGAAAAAATCTTCACCCGCTGTTCCTCAAGACAGAGTTTACTATGTAGAATATATAGAGAACTTAAAAATTCAGACCTCCCAAATTTAAAGACTCAGTCCAGAATGGGCATCTGAAATGAACAGATATTTCTCAAAGAAGTAGAAATAGCAAATAAAGATATGAAAAAATGTTCAACATCACTGGTTATTCGAGAGATGGAAATGAAAACACTGAGATTCCACCTCACTCTAGAAAGAATGGCTGCTATCATGAAATTAACCAATATCAAATCCTGACAGGGCTGTGGGGAAAGAGGAACACTGCTCCACTACTGGTGGGAGTGTAGACTGGTGCAACCACTGTAGAAATCAGTATGGAGATACTTCAAAGAAGTAGGACTTGTCCCATTTGACCCATGTATTTCCCTGCTGGTTATCTTCCCAAAAGAATTAAAAGAATCATACCCCCAGGATATATATGCACCCATGTTCATAGCAGCACAATTTGTAATAGCTAAAACTTGGAAGCAGTCCAATTGCCCATCAACTGGAAACTGGATAAAGAAAATGTGGGGTTCCCCCAGGCAATTGCTCTGTGGTTTCCATAACTGTAGATCAGTTTGCCTTGGCCAGTATTGAATCCAGAGCCTTCACACTGAGCTACACCCCTGGCCCTTTTGGTTTGGTTTGGTTTGTGTTTCGAGGCTGGGTGTCAGTCACTACATTGCACAGACTGGGCTGGAACTTTCAATCTTCCTGCTTTAGTCGGCCAGAATGCTCATCTTCTGGAGTAGCAGTTAAATAATGCTTTACATGAAACAGGGAAATCAATATATGGAAATATAATCAAGTTATTTAGAGACTGAAGGGGTAAAAAAAAAAAGTCCTAAGGGATCACCTCTACTGTCCAAACCAGGTGGGACCATCTATTGCCAGGTGTGTTAATTGAGGTGCTCACCCTCACCTGTGTTCAGATGTCTCACAAAGGTAACAAGAATCTGGAAATGTGGCCAGAGGGAAGGAATTTAGTGGCCAAGGTCCAGGAGGCTGTGGAGGACTTAATTTAGCCTTCGGAGTCATTATCAGTCTTGGAATTATGAATCCCTTTTTCAGTAAAGATTTTGTCAGGAGGTTGGATCTTTGCTACTCCTCTGGAACTGCCCTCGCCTTTCTGGGTCCCCACTTAGGACTGTGGAGGCTCCCCACAGCCGTCTCCAGTCCAGAGCCCTGCATGTCCCCCAGGTGGACTGGGAAAGGGCGAGTGCAGGGCCAGTGGCCATGCTGAGACTCTCGGAAACCAGTGCTTTTGCTTGGCCTCAGGAAAACACCCAGCTGCAGGGGCTGGAATGTGATACTAGGAACCCAATGAGAAGGGCTTGAGTGGGCGGGGCCTGTGGGTCCACTGAGAATGGTGGCAGATGGGCAGCCCTGGCCAGAGTTTGGGTCTCTGGGGGGGGGGGGTCCTGCGATATGCTGCTCTCTAACATCTGAATGTGTTAGCCCAAATAGAAAGTTAAAATAACCTACAGAGAAAAATGTAGATGATATTTTTATAATTCTGTATTAAATAAAAAGACAGTAATCTCCAGTGTTACTTAAAATAGAAAATTAAAATGACCTATAGAGAAAGATTAAGACAATTTTTGCATAGCTTTGTTCATTACATAAAATATATAAGTTAATATAATTACACGGTGAGGTGCCTGGGCTTTTAATGATTTTTGTCTTTATCATTCCCTACTGTGTGTGTGTGTGTGTGTGTGTGTGTGTGTGTGTGTGTGTGTGTGAGTTACCATGGATCAAACTCAGGACATTGCACTTGCGAGGCAGGCATTGTGCCACTGAGCTGAATCCCCGGCCCCCCTGGGGCATCTTACAGCTAGAACAATATGTTGACGAGAACCAGAAACAGTGTACAAGGGCTCTCTATGGGCTGGCTCATCCATCAACGCATTGATTGAACACAGTGGCTTCTCCACCTTGTGGCCGCTTCACAGGAATCATGCTGAGGAGCTCAGCAGTGGAGACACGTGTGGAAAACACTCAACATGGTCACATTGAAGCGGTCACATGGTGGACAGTGTTGTGCTGACATGCACATAGGAAGTCTTAGCTCAACACCAATATAACTCAAAAGAACCATAAATTATTATTGTAATGTATTATGCTACATTAATAAATTATGATAATAGTTAACTGATGTGAGTAAAGGAAATGGTAATATCATATTCCTAATAATATTTTTAAAAGAATTCTTCACAAAATGTTACAAATGTTCAAAAGTATATTTAATAAAAGGAAAACATTTTAAGAGCATAATAAAAAAAAGAAAATGGGGTTTTTTATAAGATGGAATACTACTCAGCCATAAAAAATGAGAAATTAGAGACATTTATAGCTAAATGGATGCATATCAATCCCATAATCTTAAGTGAAATAAATAGGACACATGTGTAAATACCGTAACTTAGCAAGACCCTGTCTTAAAATAAAAATTTAAAATCCAAAAGGTTACAAATGTAGCTCAGTTTGAAGGCCCTGGGTTAAATCCCTAGTACTGCTACAACATACACACATACATACATACATAATGTTATCTTGCTTTCTTCCCTTCTGCAGTGCAAAAACTCCAAAAATATGGCTTCTCAACCTGGGATTTCCCAGCCTTTCAAAATCTTTATGCTGTATAAATTACCCAGTTGGTGGCACTCAGTTATGACAACAGGAAGCTGACAACCAGGTGGTGTTATGGCTTCATCTCTGCCATCTTTCACTTCCTCT